TTCATGAATGTCGGTTGGCCAGAGAAACAAATGGAGACGCAAGATGACAGCGACATACATTATAAACATGATGCTTTATGCGAGGATGGCAACACAGGTGCAACACAGCACAAACAAGCAAGAGCTGGTTTTTCTTGTTCGTATCTTAAGTTGTGAGGCTGTCATTAAAACGACTACAGTATGGCGGAGAATGATCATTCAGGTAACCAAATGAAGTGGTAAATGTTTTATGCTTGCCCATACCCTGTTTGAGTAAAATGTGAAATAACACAGGTGTCCTGTCTGCACTAACAGTGTACAACTGCAAAAATGGTAGAACATACATTTTAGCCAGGAGTATAGGATGTCGAACGCTATGCAGGCTACTGCTAAAATGAGAGATTGTTTTTGTTATCTCAAATGTGAAGACATGTTGATATTTTTTATGGAAATGAGCTGGCAGTCAGTCAGTTTAGTAAGACAAGCTAAAAGAGGGAAATCGGTGGACGACTGGAGTAGCGCACAACAGCTCGGAGCACATGGAGCGAAAGCTCGCGCTGCAGAGCCCAGGAATCCTGGGCTCAATCGCCACCCCTGCTCGTTTCTATCTGGATGAGCATCATACCGGCGTGCGGTCGTATATCATAAGGCACGTTAAATACACCAGACTAGCGGCTGTACTGCACTGGCTAAATAGCTCACCTACAGCAAGTGACTCGTTGCAACTTTGAAATGGCTGACCAACTACACGCTGTATAAATATCCACACAACCCCAATCATTATTAAGACAAGCTAAAACTGCTGTGTGGAAGAAACTTTTGCTGTATGTGCTTCGAGCTGCAATACGGTAGGAGGAAAGCCTTGGTAGGTAGGAAGGATTGAAAAATATACTGGGTGAAGTTTCCAGTTAATTAATGACATAGTCAAAATGGGGAGTTTGTTGGCTGTGCAATAGGTTATGCAGGAAAATATATTGTGTTTGTTGGGATGTTAATGGTCGTTAAAGACCCTAGGCTTGCAGGGGTACTGCACTGGCTACATTTCTCACCTACAGCTGAGACACCATTGATGCCCACTGAGGCTGAATAACTTCTGGCAGCCTAAACACACACAACACAATTATTTAGGGCTACAAAGTGATGTGACTGGGAAACTGTGTACAGAATGCTTAACATGCCACATGAGAAATTTAGTGCAACTAAATTCTGGTGAAGGGGATCCAGCCAGGAATAGGAGAGGCGAACCAACCGGGAGCGAGCAGCTAGTGGCAAGGGTTGAACAGCAGAGTTTGGCGTGTCCCGTGCAAGTCGACTCCGATGATCACCCTGACGAGTGTTTCAGTGACAACCAGACAAACTCTGTAATGACCTGAGGCCTTTGCGGGAATTCTCGGCGGCGACCCCGGGGCACCTGCAGACGAGAAGCTGGAATGATAATTCACTGGCAGGAGCAACTCTTGGCAGGGACTTGAAGGAACCCACCCAACTATCTTTAATTCTGGCAGGTGCCCGAGGCATTGCCATTTTAAGATAGGTAGGTGCCCGCAAGTGTATGAATCCAGGTGCCACTGTTAGAGCACCTGGATTCGACGACCAAGCAGGTGAACAGCTGGTTTGCCGGAGCTTCGGGACGGTGACAAGACCGGTGAAGAGAACCGGAAAATCAAGTCCACACAAACTGAGGAGGATTCAAGTTTATTTGCACATTTGAATATATTTTTACCGTTTTCTGAATATACACTTTCTTCAACCCTATAACGGTCCAGCCAACTCGTTTTTCATTTGATATGGTGACAAGAGGTTCATTGTTCGTGTTGAGAGACTGCTTCATGCCTGTGAAGGCCTAGGTAGGTTGAAATATTCAAACGAGGTTGCACTGTTTCAGGAGGTATGCAGTCAACCCACATTCTTCTTGAAACAAATTTTGAAGTTGCAGATTTTGTGATACTTCACAATAGCATGCCAAAGCTTTGATAAGTGTCCCTAAGGTGCGACTATCTTATATTTCGCATATAACCGTGTGAAGGTCCTTCGCAAGCGAACCTGTGCGACTCCGCGGTACAGATTCGGCGTTGCAGTCTCCCGCGGTGCGGAACCCTTCCGACATGTCTCGGAGTTCAGCGAAGTTGGCTGCTATCGTAGGCAGTTTCTCGGATGTGCGCTTCTCGCGGTCGAGCACCAGTCTAAACAACTGTTCGTGTGGGACTGGTTCAGCTGGTCTGGCATTGTACGTACGTACCTTCCGAACACGACATTTCACGTTTTAAATGCAAACAAGTCTATCGTCTTTTCTCCAGCTAGGCTTAAAGGCTTCAGTAGCTCGGCGTACAATACAAACACTATCGCCTCCATCAAACTGACACTGGCATTCTGGAGTGCGGCGTGTTTCAATGCGCGGAGATGTGGGAGATGCTCGAGACTATAAAAACACAATTACATAAACTAGAAACCACAAACCTTTGGAAGCGTGCGAGATAAATCCCGCGCGCACATCAGCGTACACAAGTCCGTCCGCGTCGTCTCGGCCGTGCAATCGCATCTTTGGACGTTATTTAATGCTAGCGCAACGACTTTTGTTCCTAATTAAAAGCATCGCTAACTATTTTAACTATTATTGCACCTCACGCAAGTGTCTATTAAAGCGCATTTGTAATTAAAACAATACAAAAATAAAAAAGGGGCTGCTGCCGCTAAAGAGAACAGCCAATGACGTCATAGTCACGTGGACCAATAGGAGCCGACATAGTTTTGTTTTGTTTGTTTTTGTTTTTTCCTTGGCTCCGCCCTCCTGTAATGGGTAGGATTTCAAAATACGCCACCGGCGTCACGTGATCTCACGGGTTCACGTGACGTCATGGGGGTGACGTGCCGTCACTGGGGTCATCTGACCTCTCGGGGGTCAAGTGCGCTGTCGTCGCGCAAAGAAGAAGAGGTTGGTTGCACCATCTCTCCACGGGGCGCGGTGCCATCAGTGCCGAGAAGCGCTCCGACTGTACACCGAAACTTAAAAACCCATCAAATTTGCGCGGTTTTTCAGAAAGCCGTAAAACGCCGTATGTGTCTTCTATCGTTCTACAATTTATTGGTTTAGTGTTTTTCAATGATGCTCATTAATTTTCTAATTGAAACCAAGCTCTTAAACACAACATTAAAAAGCTGATTACGGAAAAATAGTTCACAACGTAGTTATCCCATACTTTAATAATTTTCCTAAATAGGCCTTTGGCCCAGGACCAAAATGACGCAAGTCTTTTTTTGTTGCGACGCGTAGTTTTCACAATATGGAATTTGTCCACTTTTCTTGAAACAACATATATATATATATATATATATATATATATTTATATAAGTATGACTGCGGCTTGATCCTCTGGAAGACAGGAGCAAGCGTAAAAAGGTCGTTGTCCCGACCTGGCTCTATCAAAGAACCGTTAGACAAAACCGCCGCCAATCGCTAGAACGCTGTCTAATAAAACTACACGCTAAAATGCAACATCGAATCACTTATGTAATTAAAAGTACCATCATATAAAGTGCTTCCCCAAGGTCCGTAAGCTTTGGTTAAAATAAGTAAGAGCTCAGTCGCGACCGAGTATGAAGCTTCGCCGAATCCGAAACTTTGCAGCCTTCCGCGGCGACGCGTTATCGCGCCGACGCGCACGAAAGTTCAGGGAGCGGAATACGTCTCACCTAAGGTAAGTGGAGCGGTAAAGAGATGGCTGCACTGTTTCCGCGTCTCACACCCGTCCGGCTACAAAGAAGCGCCAGTTTAAAGGGAACCCCGCCCATTTTCTTACCTTGATGCGAAGGCGTCATCTGAATGATGATGGTTTTGTGATTTAGATATGCTATCTCGTTACCTTGGATTCACTCAATTTAATTTTAAAAAAAAACACTTACTATTTAGTTCGCTACCAAGACCGAACTTTCGTTCTCCCTAGTTTTTCCCCAGTATCTCCGCCATCCACACATGACTTCAACGGCGGGAAGCGAAGCCGGCCAGCACCTCCTAAAATCTACGGCCGTAGCCTCTCCTTGTGATGTTGCGAATGAAGGCCATCGGGGGCGCGCGTCGGAAGCACCGAAGCGAAGGCAACACGCGTGAATCAACCGTCGTAACAGCGCGCTTTTAGTCACTTACCCATGTCTTATTAGCTAAAATAAAACTACACATACCAACGGGACAAGTAAACAATTTATTACATAGCCAAAATATCACACCACTAAATAATCGGTATGAAATGACTCGAGGTGTGCGTATAAGACATCTACAGAAAAATGTGATTGTTTGAAGTCGAAACCATTGAGCCATGCAGTTATTGGTGTAGGAGTGCATACCTTATACAGAATGACTTCCAGAAAGTGACGAGACACACAGTGATGGGACACAGCAAAACGGATCAGAGGAAACATCAGGTAGCCGTAGTCAACGCGGACACGGCTAGGCAAGTTTCACAATAATGTAAGCGATACTAACAAACGTATCACTGAATTCTTGCATTATACCCGGCCACAAGACAAAATAAAAGGGCCACTTAAAAAAAAAGTTCTTTTTTTAACGGTCTTGGTGGGACACCCGTTTTGAGAAATGAATTTTTGCGCGAAAAATAAATCTTTTTTTGGAGCAATATTGAGGGCGCGAGTTTTATTTTAGATTCGGCGCGCAATCTCCAAGACGTCACAGAATGGTCCTACACTCTCTCCACCTCAACGTGATGGACACAGCTTCGCACCTCTCCTCCACGCACCCGAAATGCCGCCAGAGCAAAAAAGTGGAAAGGAGGTGACTGTTGACTAAATTGCGTCTGTCGCCGCCCATATTCCTCTAAAAAATTTATTTCTCGACACGCGTGTCCCAACCAGACTGTTTTCAAAAAGCTTTTTTTTTTTTTTTTTTTTTTTTTTTAATGTAATCGTTCATTCCGTTCTATACATATCGCCTGTCGTAAAATGACGTTCGATAACATTCTATTGAATCCGGTGTCCTACGAAAATAACAATGAGTCAAAATAAAGACTTACCACGAGCTTGTGACCGGCGGTTCGTACGAATTTGAAATCACTTTCGACGCTATCCGAAGACCCAGGATTCCGAAACTATGCAGACACTTGTCCGGGCCAGCCTTCGCAGGGGAGAGTCGCGTCAGCAGTGAATACGCCACGCGAGTAAGCTAATGTTTGTGCTCTGCGCATGGTAAAGGCGGCGCGAAGTCGGGAGAGGAGGTTAATAGCGATTCCGACTAAGCTCCGCCTTCGCACATGTCGGGGGTAAGGCTTGGGACAGCAGGCGGAAATTTCTCAATTTCCCGGGGCCCGACGAACCCGCCTCAATCTCTCCACCCCCCCCCCCCCCCCCAACACACACGTGTATATATATATATATTAGGGCTGGGCAATTGATCGATTAACCTTCCGATTAATCGATTAAGGCTTTAATCGCGATCAAATGTTTTTACCGGTTAATCGGTTTTTTAATCGGTACTCAAAAGAAGTCCGTTCCCAGCCAGGTGCTATGAGCAAGGTTCAATTCTCGCGCTCGCGAAGCGTCGCGTGTTCGAGGATATACACTACAGTTCCGCCGAGGCCAGACGAACAAGCCGGGGCCGCAATTACTCCCCGCGCGACCGCGAAACTTCATTTATTGAGGATCTATTACACATCCTGCCCAGGCTAGACAAACAAGCAGAAAAACAAGCTGGGAAGCAAACAACGCTATGGTTACTTGTTCCAGTATTCGGCACGTAAAAATGGACGAGCTCACGAGTATGAAAGGCAATTTCGCTGGAAAGTTTGGGTTTAAAGTAAACTTCAGCGGTGAAGTTTTTAACTCGAAGGAAGTCTACTGCATCATCTGCAAAAAGCCGTTTTCGTACAGTGGAAGCCTAAGTTCGCTTCAGTATCGCCTACGAGCGAAGCACCCATTAACTGCAGCAAGGACCATCCGCCGAAACGCAGACAAGAATCAACGCCTTCTCCATCGAGGTTCCTTTCTCTGAAAAAATAAGAAAGCATCGCCCAAGCTCTGACTTCTTGTATTGCTGTCGGAGACTGGGGACAAACTTCTTTGTCTTCGGAGCTGGAGCAAAAATACGTCTTTGAATCGTTGAACTATATGTATCCTCAATTCTAAATGTCGTTTGCGCCGTGTAACAGAGAGTAAATTAAGTCTTCAAAGGCAAGACGAGTTGTTGCCATTCTTTTTATTACATTATTTATAAAAATTAACGCAATCGATTAATCAATCGATTAAAGGGTGGCGATTAATCGGGTTAAAACTTTTAATCGACGCCCAGCCCTAATATATATATATATATATATATATATATAATATTGCCACGCGCGTCACCGAGCGAACGCGTGCGTGGCCGAGTGGTTACAGTGCTTTGGCATTCGTGCGAAGGCCCCGGGAGCAATTCCTGGGAGCAGCGCGTCTTTTATTCATTCCTTTAATTTAGCGTTCTCGTAAACTTGGGAAGCTTGTCGTCTGTTTGAGGTCAGAATGTTCTACGGGCCGAATCTTCTACGCCGACAGTCTCGTTCCAACCTCCGAGCAGAGCAGTCGACTTTCCCCGGGCTCCGAGAACTCCGCGAAAACGAGAACGTGATGAAGCATAAACATCGAGCCGGCGCTGGGCGCGGCCTGGCCACCACCTGGCCTTGCACGGGGCACGTACTGGCCCCCGATTTCGTTTCGCCGAGGAGCCTGAAAACTCCGAGAACGTCTCCGGCCTGGGAGGAGAAGCTCGCAGCCCCCGCATGACCGGCTTCATGCAGGTCGTCGAAGTGGAGGGTGAGTCGGTATCACCAGAAGAATACAAACAGGACGCGGGCTGGATTGCCAGCCATCAACAACGAAACAATCGAGCTCAGGCGATGTTAAGCGTACCTGCTCGGGACACTCGACACCAAGCGTACGTGCGTCAAGGACAGGCAAAAAAGGTTCAGGAACCTCTACGCATGCGCAAACTGCGCATGCCTCGTTTGCCCAGAGGAGGATATAAAGATAGTTCTCCGACCGCGCGACAGACTGAGAACGTCGCAAGTGAGCTACGCGCAACTTCGGGATGCCGCTCCACACGCCGCCGTAATGTCGACGGAGGGAGCGAGTACTGACCTCCTTCGCCTCAGCCCCTGGCAGAACATGATGGTCGTCAGCACGCCAAAGATGGAAAACGCCTTGAGGTATGGCAGCATCAAGGAAATCCGGATCGGATGCCAAACCTACACTGTTAGAAAATTCCATCAATCTACGTGGAAAAACCGAATAGAACATGTCCCGTTTTCTGGAAATGCATACAATGTGCTGTTTGCGTTCAAAAACGGGAACTGTACCATATGCATTGAAATGTGCTATTTAGGCAATAAGTATGAGCTTATCCGTATAAATAAAAAAAGCCTTACAAGACTACAGTTTATAGTCGGTTCAACTGGTATAAGCGAATTGAACGCGCCCAAAAGTGCCGGATATCCAGCAATTTTTATGGAACTCTATCAGACCGCGGAAGTACAGTGCCCGTGAGCCGTGTTACGCCGCGCGCAGGAAGACATCTCTCACCCGCGCATGCGCAAGCCGCTGCCGGCCGGCGTGGGCCCTGGTGGGCCCGCGAGCTGCAGAGTGCTGCTGCCCGTTCGGAAGGCGAGTTCGACGTTGTTATCGCGTCGTCAGAGGCGTTCAGCGGTGCGTAGACGGCTTTGTTTTCCAAGGTACGTATACGTTAAGTTGTTCCTAACGCAGTGTTATTTTACTATCTCTAAGGGTGTCGTATATTCCAAGTTCGGGATGCCCAGCGTGTAGCGTCTTGTCTTCCCAGCTGCATAAAGCTAGGCCTTTTATAGTTCCTGATTCGGGGCGGCATACTGCCCGACCCTACTTAGTATTGATGGTATGCTACGCTGCGTAGTTACGCGGAAAAAAACTGGAGAAATGAAGTTAATGCAGAAGGAGAGACAAAAATATGCATGAATTGGCGCAGACTAACAACTGTTTAATTTCTTTCTCTTTTTTCTCCCCCGACCCGTATTTCCGAAATTGCGGCTAAGAAAACGAATGGTTGATGCCTTGAATTTGTTGGCTTCTGAACTGGATGATGTTTGCTGTAGCTGCCTCTTTGATATACGAACTGGATGGTGTGTTTTTGTAGCGTTTACCTGGGGCCTGATGTTTGCTCCGACAAGTTTGATATCTTATTGAGTAGATCTATTTCTTCTTGTCGCAAAGCTAGTGATGGCTCACTGACGCACGCTCCGTGTCTACCCGAGGCCATGTGAAAGGCCTCGATTATTTCACGCTTTGTTCTGTTCTTTGATCTGGCCAAGATGGAAGTAGTGTCAAGGACAGCTTTGCAGTTGCATTTTGAACAATGCGCTGCAAGGTTGCCAGGTGCTTGCAGTTGTCCGAATGCATGGTTGTGCTCCCTTAAGCCCGGTTCAGACACTTGCGTTTGAGTGCGTTTGACTGCGTTGCGTCGAGAACCGAAAGTGAAACACCGGCACATCTGTGCTTCGTATGAAGCGTGGAATCCAATTCAAGGAATCGTCTTTGCACGCGATTTAAGCAGCAGGGATGTCCTGGTTTCTCGTTGCCGCAACGCAGTCAAACGCAGTCAAACGCAACTGTCTGAGCCAGACATTAGTCTCTCATTAAGGCATCTCCCAGTCTGCCCGACGTAGGATCTTCCACACGACAGTGGTATTTTGTATACCACACCTTCGACACATTCAACAAATTTGCTCCTGTGTTTCACTTGACACAGTGCCTTGCCGTTAGCCTCGTCCACTTCATTGTTGACCTTCCTGCATAATCCTTTGAGCCTGAAAGGGGCAGATAGTGACACTCTGACTTCGTACCTTGCGGCGATGTTTTTTATCCTGTTTTTTATCCACGAGTAGTAACTTCAGCGCACTGTTGCTCTTTTCACGCGCTCAAAGTCTTTCTAAAAATTACTGATTTAGGGGTTTTGGACGACGCTCAGCAAATTTCTACTTGGAACCATATGACTATTTTCAGTAATTAAAAAGTTAATTAACGAATTTTAATTAATTAGCCGACTTATCGCGAAGATTAACCACCCCCAAATGCCCCCTGGGCGTATAACTCACTCGCACAAATCGGATAAGAGTAGCTTTCATGGTTTTTTTTTTTAAACAACACTGTAAAAAACACAAAAAACGCTCGGTGTAGCAGACGCATAACGATTCCTCAAACGTATTGCAGTATTCCAATGTAGATATTAAGGGTTTCATTCAGCTTGGTCACACTTTCGCTGAGGTATTGTCAATTACATTAAACAAAGTGTCTAACTTTCGGCAGTAATTCGGAAAGAAATATGTTTTGTAGAGCAGCATATTAGCGTTAGCATTTGTGTTTGTTTGGCTCGTTCAACAGCAACCTGGAACATGTTGTACCATGTTTTTGTTGAAACTTCGAACTAAGAAAGGCAAAGGCCTGATGTTAACGTGCTGCTTTCTAGACACCCTTATTCACAATTCGCTTGAAAATATTCGTTGCTCGCATTAACTGGATGTGCTGCAGTAACTGCGTGACCTGCTTGGGAGGACCGTTTCTCTGTAAGTCATATTATTACGTTGCAATATAATGAAAGAATCAGTATGAATCTGGTATTCAGATACATTGTCATATAGAACCAATACTAGAACTAGTGCATCCTACGGAGCATGCAACTTATATTTTAATCCGCCTTAGTATCGATCGGCTTCAAATACATGAGCCCCTGTTCTGCAGGGGCACACGAATATACCTGTGACCGGGCTATGCTTACCAGTTAGAATAAGTAATATGAACCAAAAGACATGAATGTTGAGCATTCTAATAATGGGTGTATCTCAAAACGTCCCATTCGCATCTGAACCTTGCACATTTCGTCCTATTCTCATTTGGTCCTTCTCGTTTGAACCTTCTCATAAGATCCGAATCGTGTTTTTCGCAACTGGGCCCATTCTCATTTTGCCCGTTCACCCTACGACCGAATGGCATTACTTCGGCATGCTTCTAACGTTGTTATGCCTTCGCGGCTTTGTTGATGAGCCTTACCTTGCTTGGGCCCCCAACGTACCATTAGGTATATGTTATGTGTAGAGGTGCGCACTGAGAATCGTACAATGACGCGTCCTTCCCTTCCT